TAGAATTTCTGACCTAATAGTGGCACTAGAGGAAAAGTCAAGAGGTCACCAAAGTCATCTGGGATTGAAGGATTTTATATCCATCTGCTTAATGAGCTGGTACTGTCCTCTTGTAAGAAAACGAGCCCATAGGTGCAGCAGGTTATTATGACACATAGTTACATTTTGTTGCTAGGCGACATCTAGTGGACACAGTAATCATGACAGGAGCAAAGGGAAAAGTGCGGTGACATGGTATAAAGAGAAAAAGTCTGTGTCAGGAGGAGGCTGTGGTGGATGGATGGGTCAACAAAACACAGGACTATGACACATGAGAGCGGAGTTCGATTCCCATGTGAAAGTAGCAGTTTATGTTGTTTCCATTATCCATGACCGTTTCACAAAGTTAACCACGTTGTTGTTATTATAACCATGACAACAAATCGTCTGATGTTGAGGTAGTACTCATTTTAACCCAAATCACAACCTTACCTAAACCTAACCAAGCCATGACCATTATTATAGTAACCGTAGGCCGATGTCGGTACAGTCCATGTGTTTATTATGGTAACCAAGACAACCAAGGTCCAGTACCACCTGCTGCCATAGGGGCGCTATTTCAGGAGACTCTCCTATGGGTCTTATCAGATGGTTGAAAAAAACGACCTGTATGGTTGTTCAGGTTGGAGGAGTGATTGAATAAAAAAGACAATTTTTACTGGTTCATTAACATATTTAATTTTATTCACTTCTCTCTGAGACACTTAAGCTCCATGGATCAGAGCTCAGTCTGTGGATCCTCTGAGGTGTGGAGCATAATGAAGGCAGGGAGTGATGACAGTGGTAAAACAATCAATACTCCTCCAGTAATGAAGGGTAATGAAGTCTCAGCTCAAGCTTCCATAATTTAAACTCAAAGCAAACTGTTCTTGGTAACACAACATTAGATGACACATAGCTAGGTGTGCTCTGTAGGAGCTGTTGAGAGCTTCAGTAGGGACAACCTGTTGACAACAATCAATAACCCATCCTCACTGGAATAAAACACAACAGGCTCCTGATTGAGATTCGTCCTGTTTAGCCAAACACAAAGCTCCATGAGGTGAGAGCCTAACACCAGCCCTGGTGTATGGGAGATATCAGCGTTATGACCAACAAAAGAGGACAGTCAGCTCGTCTCTCCTGCTCAGTTATTAATTTCACACTTCACTTAGCTGTGATTTCTGTCGGGGTAATGTGGCAGAGCCCAGTCGGGACGCTTATTGTTACTGTCCCCGCACATACACACCAGTATAATGAGGCGGAGCAGCAGGGAGCTGGGGAACGCTGTAATTATCATGCAATGAAAAAAAAATTTTGAAAAATCACACAATCCACACAGCAGACAGACAAACACAATGACACTGGTGTAGTGAATATTCAAACCAGTGCCATCCATTACTCCATCTATCTGCCAGCCCATTATCTGCCCACAGATGCACACAGTTACGACCACAGCCGCTAACAGAGTGAGCATCGAGGTTATTACCATCAATTAAAACTGAGACAGAGCTGGCTGTAAAACACAACATTATATGTAATTAAAAACAACATAAAAAATATAAATTCAAACCATTTCAGTTACACCTTTTATTTATATGTTGTGTAACGTGTTTGTTGTTATTTCCTGTAATGACCAAGCTTCCTGAATGTTGCTGTTTTACAGGAGTGCATCAGTGTTTTCTCTTTACTTTACTACTTTTCTTTCTTCACTTTTATTTATTCAGCAAAGACCCTTTAAATGTTTCCTTAATGCTATAAATAGTTAAACTTGCTATATGTTATTTACATTAAGATATGAACATATATTGAATTCAATATATTGAATGAAATGTATGTACATGTAACAATTTATATATATATATATAGTAGACATATGTTACATACATATATATCCACCCCAAAGCCTTTCAGTATATGTTATGTTATTATAAACAGTAGATAGACATGTTTAAAATTAGTGAGAAATGAATTAGAAAAACATGTATAAACATATAGATTTTTTTATGTATGTTGTTTTAATAACCTTGCATATATAAATTAAATATATATCCTTAACAAATATGGCAGCAACAATTTATACTGCCATCTACCATCTTCATATATCCAGAGGATGTATATATTTGATAATAATATATCACCTTATAAGTGACATATAAAATATATGTGTCTATATCAAGAGTGATGTTATATATTATATTTCTGTAAGCAGTCAGGGGTTTCCCTCTGACAAGGCTGGACCATCCTTCTCTCCCACAGACACAAACACTGGAGGAAATTGTTGCTTGTCTGATGAGTTGACAAAGGCCAAGATGATGCGACTATGAAGCGTTACTGTTTGTATATTTTGATAACAAATCACAGGATACTCTGATCTGACCCTGACCCTGCAAACACTCCCAGAAACAGCAAGGGGTGTTTTATTTTAAATGAAATTCAGCGACAGCTGATTTCTTTGACTTTTTGGTTCACAGTGTATTTCACCCGTGAGTGTCTGTATGTAGTGTGACAGGTTGGTGACATCAAAAACTGAAGTTCGGCCAACAAAAACATCTGACTGGCTCAGTCAATTCTCACCCAGAGAGAAAAGTCACCAGAATCAAAACCAGACCAGCTGACAAACCAAAACATGAGGGCAGAAGTTCAGAGGAACCGGTGGAGCAGTTCTCCATAACTACAAACTGAAAAATAAATGTTTCACACGCACGCACGCAAGCACGCACACAAGCACGCACGCACGCACGCACCTGTACAGCTCTTTAATAGCAGATGAAACACACACGATCACTGACCACTTCACAACAGGCCTTACAGATAATTTTGGTTATTGAGTGGTTATTGACTGGCTCAGGCATTGTGTTCACTGACACACACACACACACACACACGCACACGCACGCACACACACACACACACACACACACACACAGCCAGTCAACCTGCAGAGGCCATGTAATGCATAACAATCAGCTCTGAAACAAAGGCAGGGAGGAGGGGGGGTGTTCGACAGACTTGTGTGTTCGTGTGCATCTATTCAAGAATTCATGAGCTGGTGTGTGTGTATGCGTGTGTGTGTGTGTGTCTCTCACCTGGAAGTAGCGGGTTAGCATGTGTGCTCTGAGGCCTCCTGCATGTGTCTGCAGGCATTAGTTTGATGAGTGTGTCTGCAGACATTAACCTGAGGAGTGATGATTCCAGCCTGCTTGAAAACCTAATAACAAAGACACACAATATTTTTATCATGACAGTACAGACACACAGACACATGTTCAGCAGAAACACTGAACACTCTCATAAGTAATTACTTCCATGCTCATTTCCGAGCAGGTGTTTCTTCTCACACTGGCCCCAGAGTGACGCCAGCGCTCACTCTGTTCTGCTTACAGCTATATTACTTATGCTAATGTGTGTCGCTGGTGGCTCATTGTATGTAAGCTCGTTATGAGCCGTTGATTGAGATGGGAGGGACCTGGAGGGCCAGAGACTTCCCTGTGAATGTGCATGTGTTCTGCCTACAGTGTATGCCCTTGAGCAAATCACTCAGACATGCTCTTAACGTGCTCATTTGGTCACTGGTAACATGTAGCACCAAGGTCCAAGTGAGTGAAGAGATGAATAATTGTGTTTTTGGCCACAGTTTAGACTTAGGCAACTGCTTCTTACATGTTTGCCATATTTAAACATCCAGTAGACACGGATCAACACTATCATCCCATGAATCTCAGTCCCTCTCTTTTAGCTCTGTGTTTGTTCTCCACCAGCTCCTGAGGGAAAAATATCTTGCTCTTTAGCTGCTAAATGCTCCACTATGTTCCCCAGCTGCTCTCTGACTGTGTCTGTCTGCTGAGCAGCCAGAGGACAGTGGTTTCAGGACTTTGAGGACTGTATTTCTTAGACCCTAGTGGTTTGCTTCAGCGCCACATAGCGAATTGGTTAGGGTTAGGGAAGTGAAGGAGTTCAAGAATCTTGGGAGTGGTGCAGCGTCAGCAGTAAAGTGGACATTGTACCGGACTGTTGTGGTGAAGAGGGGGCTGAGCCAGAAGGCAAAGCCCTTGATTTACCAGTCGATTGTTGTTTCAACGCTCACCGATGGTCATGAGTTCTGGGTAGTGACCAAAAGAATGAGATTGTCGAAATAAGGGGCTGAAATGAGTTTCCTCTGCAGAGTCTTAGAGAGGGGGAGGAGCTCTAACATCTAGAGGGAGCTCAGATTGAGTCACTGCTCCTTCATGTCAAAAGGAAGCAGTTGAGGTGTTTTGGGCATCTGGTTCTGATGCCTCCTGCACACCTTTCTTTGGAGGTTCTCTCCGGGCACGTCCAACTGGGAGGAGACCCCAGGGTAGAACCCACCTGCCCTGGGAACACCTCAGGAGGAGCTGGCAAGTGTTGCTGGAGAGAGGGACATCTTGAATACCCTGCTTAGCCTGCTATCAGTGACCCGACCCGGATAAACATAAAATGGATGGATGGATGGATGGATGGATGGATGGATGGATGGATGGATGGATGGATGGATGGATGGGGTCAGGGATGTTCTACACACATATCTAAAACAAATTGGGTTTCCAGTACGGTGGCAGTGTCACGAAAAACTAGTGTCCTAGAAATGTGGTCCTGAAAGTCCTGAAACTGGTCTGCACACATGCTACTCATGAAAACTGCTGCCTGCTGCAGCTGGAAACACTGAGACTGAAATCTGTTTTACATTTCATTGTGCCTTTAAATATTTTCCTGTATGTTTTTCTTTTAATGTAATGTTTTTATTTTTTCAATTTGATTAAATTTTTTAAATTGTGTTCAGTATTTTGCCAATAAAGTACTGATGAAATAAAACCAACACAATGAAAAATATAAATATTTCTAAAGACACAATAAGTACTATACACTGAGGTTATGAATGTGCTATAATAACCATGCTCCTCTTGCTCTCCACCCAACCTCAGTAACACCATCCATCTCTGTCTCCCTCTGTCTCTCATTAGCAGAAGGGCTGGAGTAACTCCCTGCGGCCGATGGACAGACATGGAAACATGAAGGTAGGACACACATGGAAGTCGTTCAGTGATCCTCCTGCATGACTGACTTCTCACCTCCTCCTCACTGACTCTCCTGTCCTACATCCCTCCATCCGCCTCCTATCAGTCATCTTTAATAAGGTCCCACTCCCGTAAAGCTGATGATAGATGGAGAATATTTCCTCCCACACTGTCGCCTGTTCGGCCTTTAATCACTGATTTATGTGAGGACGGTTTGATAAGTGTTCACAGTTGTTCGGAGCAACATCTAGATTCTCTTTCATATATTCACATCTACATGACTTTGCCTCCTGACCAAAGCAGATCCCACTTTATCTCACAGTGACACCTCAGTCAATGGAAAGACATCGTCTGTGTCCCGATTCAGATTCTGACACAGGTTTTTAGTGTCTGTGTGTTTACACTGGAAAATAAAGGACACTCGAGCATTCTTAGTGTGAATACAGACTTTTTTGATTGTGCTGGTGTGGATGGGGATGAAACAGGAAGTAGGAATGCCTCAAAACACACAAAAACACAGTTTGATTGATGTGTGTCCACAGAACTAGTTTAATTTATAATAATTAATGATCCTGTGTTTTAACGTTGCCTGAGAACCAAAACAAATCCCCTTTGGGATGTTAATGAAGCAGAGGCTGATGTCTAAGTGACACTAGTTTATTCCACCAGGCTTGCATAAAGAAGTGATGGGTGTTTCTATGGCAACCATGTCTTTCCTTGGCTCTTCTCCTGGCAACAGAAGGAATTATTTTTATTGACAAATTTCCATATCAGCATATACAGTAAATCACACAAAAATCAATACCCCAAAACCCAACTAGAAAAACATGCATCTACACTCACACATACACACGAGTGGAGAGAGATAAGTAAGATTGAAGTAAATAAGCTATAGGACACATATACACAAAACATTTACAGGTTCATATTATGAATAAATAAATAAATAGAATATACATAATCTCTTAAATTCCCAGGTTTCCCCTGAATGATCAATGTGGCCTCTTAGATAATAATCCCAATCAACCTGCACTGTAAAAAAAAAAAAAAAAGTTGAGAAAACTTTCAATTTCAATGAAATTTTTGAATGAGGAAATTAAATGGTTTTTATTGAGTTTAGATTTTGAGTTCATCTAAAGTAGAATTTTACTTTGAATTTTAATTTACTCCAAGTTAAAGTCTCATATTATTTTACATCATTGCAACGCTTAAATTTGACTTCTGTTTTATTTACTCTTTTATTTAATAAATTTTTTAAATAATTACATTTTATTTACTTCTAAGTTAAAGTAACACGAATCCATATGCTTGTTTGTGTTTGTTTACATGATCCTAACTGAGCTATGAGCTAGAATTACTCTCAGGTTTGTTCAGTAGTTACTGTTTGTTTGGATAAATGTCAGATTTTCATTTTTCTTTTAGGGAAACCTTTTTGGGAGACCCTGACAGGTTCATGGATCTGGAAATGGAGGATTCTCTGTTTCATGTCATATTTAGCAGCTTCCAAACAAAACTGTTAGACCCTCAAAGCTTTTCAGAAACAAGCTGAGAGAAGATGATTTATCACCTCAAACCAGAGAAACCACAGGTGCTCTGAATTATGCAATACCTCGATTCATTATTAGTCAGCCTTCGACCTTGGATTCTTTTATTTATTTATTTTTTAGCAGTTTCATCTTTGGTTTTTTAATTGTATTCCTCAGATGCTTGATTTCTAAATTCTGCTCTGATTTATTAATCATTACCTTTATTCTTCACATGCATTATTCCTGATGCTTTCAGTCCTCATTTGTCAGTGCATTTGGCTGCAGTTAAAATATTACTCAAAGTTCGATTGGTGCTCATTAAAACACCCCTGACCTTACAATATAATTTTCAAGGGATGTTGTTTAATATTCTTTGCTCTGATCATGTCTTGAAACTGTTGAGAAGATTTGTGTGGAATTTTCTGTTGATGCTCATGATCCACAGAGACACAATCCTAATGGTTTTAGGGACTTCCTGAAGGACAAAATTTCCACTTGTGCTCAAGAAACAGCAAAATTTGATGTGCAGATTACCACTAAATTTACTGAATCACGCTCCCCAGATAATGAACTCTCACACTTTCTCTAGCTCCATCTGCAGGCCAGAATCTCCACTCTGCTCACTAGAGACATCATAATGGGCACACCCTGGCTCCCGCAATGGGAAAAGAGGCCCCCAAATGGCCCCTCATATTGGCACATTTTGCAATAACAACTATAAACCCCCTTAAACTTCCCATAAAGACACTGTGCAGTGCACTGCTGCAGCCCCATCTACCTTCTGCTTGCATATGAGGCATTTAGGGGACATCTATAAGTTGCAGTCTGCCAAGAGGGGGTGTTTCTGTGATGGACTTTGATGGGCTTCTTTGCCTGGGGCCCCCCAGAGTCTAGGATCACCACTGCCTCTGGCGCCATACTCAGCACAATTTTAACATTTTAACTCCTCTCCTGTGAAGGTCGAAGAACAGCTAAATCATCAGTATGTGTTTGGTTTAGTTCAGTTTTACTTTAATTCTGTATCTGTTTTACATTAAAACCTAAAGGCCACAGTGGGATTTTTTTCTTACTTTATTTACTTACTCACTTACTTATTTACTTTGCCTGCCTTTTGCATAACTTTTCATGACTCCACCTGAGGCACAGAGAAAGGCAGTGTGGAATGCAGACACTGGCTGTGACCTCAGCTGTTGCCGTTTCTGTGGTTATTGCTCAGGATATGGCTACGGCCTCATGTGGACGACCTGTTGGGAGCACCAGCACATTTCCTGGTGGCCTGAGGTTGTTTTGATCTGCTGTCAACAGTCAACTTGACTCATTTTTAGGCTCAGTTTCTGAATACAGGCTGTGTGCATTTGTCTGTGGACTGAGCGCTTTGATACTTTGACAGTATTAATATAGAACCTTGACCTGCTTTATAATCAAAGAAGACATGGAAGTCTATCTTTATACTATAGGGGCCCTTTAAGTTAAAAGGGCACTGATATCTCAGGGCCACAGTATGTTTGCTTCTGTGAGAGCTCAGTTTCTGTGGATCTGCAGGAATACACAGAGCCCTGCAAGCTAAAGCTAAATTATTGTGAGCGAATGCAAAAGTAGTTCAGAAAAGAGAAATCTCACAGCGTCCGTTGTATTTCTTCATATAAATCTTCCTATTATTCTTTACTCACTCTACTTGTATAGAAATTATAAATCTATAAGTAACATACTTTAAATCTCATCATCTCTTCAGGTCAGAGGACGGGGAGCCTCTCAGCTTCCACTAGACAGATCGCAAAACTCCCAGGAGCCTTTGAACCAATCCGGCTCGGTCCGCAAGAGTCACAGGAGGAAAGGTAAACCACATTCCACCACCTGACAGATACATGCATGAGCACGTTTTATTTTTTAACTGCTCCTTTCATCTGCTTTCACTTAACACAGACGTCCCTGAAGTTCTGAGACGGGAATCCTCTTTTTTTTCTTCTCATCTTTTAGTTTCATCTCTTCACATCTTTCTTCATTACATCTCCTCTAATCTTTTCATCTGATTTCTCCTCAGCTGAGTGTGCGCCCTCCATGTCATATTTTCTCATCTTTCATGTTTTTCCCTCATCCCACCTCCCGACTCTTCTGCTCATTTTTTCCCATCATCCTCTTACATACAAAATCATTTTGTGTTATCTCTTGACTTTTACCATGTTTTCTGATGTTACTGCAGCGTTTTATCATTTCTTCTTATCTGTTATGTCACCTATCTCCTTTCCCAACTCATATTTTTATCCATCATTTATTCGAGCAAACAGTTGCTGTGATAAAAATACACACATACACCATCTTCAGCTTTACACCTTCTACCATCTAATGTGAGTTACTATGGTTTATTAGGTCTCAAATTATATCTTTTACATAATTGATTTCCTCAAATTCAGCTCTTCATGAATTTTTTAAAATAAATTAAGACTAAGTCCACATAATACTATAACCTAAGAGGTGGAAAGTTTAGGCTATTTATATAGTTAGATCCCCGTAGCCACTGTGTTGTAACATTGGCAACTTCCTGGGGTCCCCTTAAATTTATATAATACTTCAACGACAACAGATACATAAATACACATCCATATCATTCTTACTCACAATGAGACTCACAATATGCAACACAACCCCTACGACGCACAACAACCAACACCAACTCGAAATCTATCTAATACATACAATAGATCTATTTAATAATTTCATTTCTTAGTAATGGAGAAAAGAAAACCTGGATGTTAACATCACCCTGGTTCCCTCAACAAAAAGCCAATCACATTTGTACAATTTTCTTTTGGATTGTTGCAGAAAATAAACTCTGTGTACTGAAACGTCTCGTTCAGCAGGACGATCTTCACTAATGAACACCACTTTTAGGATGTTTGAAGCCTAAATACACCAGAAGTAAAAAGCTAATGTTATGCTAAAAACCAACTACACCGCGGTCACATGACTTCAACGTCACCACCACTAAAATTCAACTTGTAGCTTGATTTAGCCCTCACCTCTTCTACACAAGCGTTTCATCTTACAGTTAGTAACAGTTTGTAAGAGCGTGAGTATAAACACAACAAGGCTGTATATATGTAGATCTGTTTCTATAAATCACTGGCTTTGCCCTTTAACGTCTGGATTCAGCTCAGTTCTGTCTTTTGTTAATCTTCACACCCTCCACCCCTCAGGGACATTAGTTTGCAGCAGCAATGGGACTGGCAGCACCTCCATCTCCTCTGTTGCCATGGTTGCCATCCCCGACTGCATCGACAATGCCACGCAGACGGACATCAGCTTCCAGAACATCATGACACTCGGGAGGAGCAGAGGCCACCATCACCATCACCACCAAGGCGGCTCCTCCCCTCCGCCTCCTCCCCCTTCTCCTCCCCTCCCTCACCTCATGGGACCGTACGGGATCAATGAGTTGTACGTCCTCACCTGCTGTTTTGGAATCAATTCTCTTTGCTGTGTTTAGAAAAAAAAATGACTCCAGATATGAAAAATCAATAATGTTGGATATGACAGTCATTGATTTTTCTTTCTCCTCCCTCCAGCTGTGTGTTTGAGTACAATGACCCCAATGACTACTTTGACGTCTCGAATCATGAGGTGGACAGGCCGGATGACCTGGAGTACGAGGTGAGAACTCTCCTGCTGTATTACCATAAACCAAATGTCACCATAAAATGAAAAATATCAGGCAATTTTTCATTCAGTGAGATAATTCTCAACCTTTTTTCAAGTACTGCCCTCACTGTATTGAGCTTGAATGCTTCATCATACTTAAGTCTGGATTATAAACAAAGCAGACCGGCCAACTGCTCTTCACTTGCTATAAGAGAATAAACTTGCTCAGAGAGGAGAAACTCCTTTTTAACTGTAAATCACAGACTGTACATCAAGATGGATGTAGCCTCTGTGACGTCACCCACAGGTTTCTGAAGAACGGTTTTGAAGCTCAGAGTGAGCTGCTCCACCATCGCCATCTTGGAAGTGCTTGACTCCACAGTCTTAACTCCTGGCTAACCCAAAAATGGGCAAAGAGGTGTGATGTGTATGAAGCTGGGACGTCGGTGCATGCCAGTTTGTGGCAAGCATACACTCACCCACCTGTCACTCAAAGAGGCCACGCCTTCAATTATGCATAACTTTAAGTCTTCATAAAATGTAAACAGGTGAATTATATAAAAAAATTCATCCCCCGCAAAGTTGTCATTAACAAGGAAATTAGGTCTAGAGACCAAATCTGTTTTCTGTACCAGGTCGTCAACATGTTTATTTCTGTTGTAAAGTTGGACATTTCAACATGGGAGTCTATGGGGATTGACTCACTTTTGGAGCCAGACTCTAGTGGTCATTAAAGGAACTGCAGTTTTTGTGTACTTGCTTAATTTTTCAGCCCCGGCGGTTGATACTCAAACAGAAGACATTAAATGTTAAATCAGCACATCAACCAACCAATAATTCAAATCTGTAGGCATGTTGCTCTTCTGGCCACACCTCAGTCAGTGACATCAGTGACATAACTGTTTGGGGCGTGGCCTGAACAGAGAGAGCAGTCTGAAAGTTATCTCTGTAATTCAAGGGTGATTTTGAATATTTCTGGAACAACAACAACAGGTTTTTACTCTGAGCCAGAAAGAAGAAGAAGACAGTTTAGGGTTCAGTGCCTTGCTTAAGGGCAACTTAGTTGCGAAGGAAGGTGAGAAGGAAAGAAGTGAGGAGGACGGTGGTAGGGGCTGAATGGAGGATGATAGTGAAAAAGAAAGGAAAAAAGAAAGGAAGGGAAGGATAGAGGTAGGAGGCAAAGAGTGGGATTTAGGAGGATGAGTGAGGAAGGAAAGAAGGGAACAACAGCATGAGAAGATTAATAATTGAATATAGACATTAATGAAGATGGAGAAAGTAAATGAAAGGAGGATAAGAGGAGAAAGGGAAGGAAACAGTGAGCAAGGAATCCATGAAATGAGACCCGGAGGACGGAAAGGGACCGGTGGAGAGACAGCGGTGGAGAAAAGGTTGATAAAGACACAGTATCTCTGTTTGTGCTGCAAAATGATCCACAGTCCACAGAAATGTTACTGAAACAAATTGATCTCTACAAGCTGTCGTGTTTGTCGAGAACATCAGGATGAGTGATAGACTGGGTTTAAGTTCAGTTTATAAATGTCTAATGGATGGCTGTTTTTAAGCTGAATGGCCCTTTTTCTTTTTTCGCTCTGTTAGTTCGCTGCTGTTTCCTGAGAAAAAACGACAGTTTGGTCATTAAAGAAGTCAGCAAAGTGGAAACGCTTGTGCCCTCTCTGACTTCCTGTTCCTCCTCTACATGGTCATTCTTCTGTCGTCTCTTTCTCTCCCTCTTTCATTTTCCTCACACTCCACCATCATTATATCCCCATAAATTACTTCCTTTTTCTGTCTTGAGTTACATCCTTCATCTCCTCCCCAAATCACTTCCTCTTTGCTCTGTGAGTTGTTGATAGTATCTTTGATGGTCTTAGGTGGTCTCGGTTAGTCTCAGCTTGTTTTCAATGGTCAAAACTGATGGTATACATTGGTCTTTGATGGGGTGGTCTATGGTTTCTGATCTAATAAGATTATAACTTTTGATGGTCAGAGCTAGACTTTGGTCTGAGCTCATCTTTGGGAGATGCCAAAGAAAGTACTAGGTACCAGGTACTAGCCACAACTTGGAGCCAATAAAGGCGAGTGGAGTCGAGTTGAGCCGGCTCCATCCAATGGAAAAGGCTGTAAGATGATCTTTGATGGTGTCAGCTGGTCTCTGATAGCATAATATGGTTTTTTATGATTTTATGATGGATTTCGTGATAAAAACTAGTCTCAGCTCGTCTTTGAGAGGGATGTATCTTGGTGGTAAAGGTTTTTAAAAGGCTACAGCAACTTGATCTACCTTTAACCACATGTCAGCATTAAACAGCACCTGCCTCTGTTCAGATTAAAGGCCCAGCCACAGCAACGTTTAAAAGTTTGCTGCAAAATAATTCACTCCAGTGGAATCACTCTTGTCAGTGGATTTGCTCGGGGGCAGAATGTACATCCATGTAAATCTTCTGTGTCAGCCTCAACTTTCATGAAGTCTGACAATGGCAACATCCCTGACGACCAAGAGCAAAACTGGTTTGACAGGGCTGACCTTTGAGAGAACAGAGAGCCAGAGAATAAACCAACCCATAAACCAATCAATGATTCTTTCCTTCCCCTCTTCTTCCAGGAGGTAGAGCTGTACAAGTCCAGCCAGCAGGAGAAGTTGGGTCTGACGGTCTGTTACAGGACGGACGAGGAGGAGGATCTGGGGATCTATGTTGGAGAGGTGACGAAAGGAAGCATTGCTCTACTCTTCATCCCTATTACTCCTTCATTCAGATATTTTCTTATCTATTCACTTATTTATTGCATCCATCCTTTCATCACTTTATTACTTCGTCCTTTAAATCATTCATCCAACCAATTACTCACTATTTCTTTCCATTAATTCAGCCAATTAATACTGAGCTACTATGCACTTATTATGCATTCATCTGTTTCTTAATTCATGAAGTCATTTATTTATCCTTACATCCCTCCTTTAATTCCTCTCTCTCTCTCCATCTGACTTCAGGTCAATCCAAACAGCATCGCAGCCAAGAATGGACGCATCAGGGAGGGAGACCGAATATTGCAGGTACACAAACACGGGTTTAGACTCACAGACAATTTAAACAGTAAAAGCCCTGCATTCGAAATCTTACTTAATTGAAAGTACAGGCGTATTATCAGAAAAAAAGTTGCAGGTAAATTCCCTGTAACTGACATATTACATATGTAAGACATTAATGATACTGATATATCAGTGCTGTAGAAGCATTTTACTGTTGTAGCTGCTCGAAGTGGAGCTAGTTTTAGCCAGATACAGTTAACTACAAACTCGACTTCAACTCAAACCATTAAAAAAAAAAAAAAAAAGTCCACTTTGAGCAAACTATCTAAAAAAGACAATAGGATGTGATTGTTTTGTTTTTTTCCCCAATCAAATTTCTGTTTCAAAAGGTCAAACTAAAACTTTTACACTTTATCACAGTTGTTTTTTATAGTGTGTTCATTAAAGTGGAGAAATGTTGAGTAAGATTTATAGATATTACAAGATCTACAACATGACAAAAACAAACTAAACCAAACGGATATGTTGACCCAAGTCCAATTTGAAGCACCAGAGAAATATTGTGAAAAATAACAAATAACTCTTTTGATTATACCCACCCTCTCCTTGATTATCCCCAGGACAAACATAGTTTTTCTATGTGACCACAGTGAATTTAATCAAATGATGAAAAAATCTCTGTATTCATTAATATTGAATGTTGACCTTCAGGTTGCTGAACATACAAACTTGTCCTCTGACAGATTGACTGGTGCCATGGGGGTTAAAAATAGATTCAAATCAAACTATGTAAATTTATACCTGAAACCCCTGGGGCAGTCATGACCAATCAGAGAGAGCTGTCAGCAGCCCAGTTACTGCTGTCCTAAAAATAGACTGAGAGAGATGGAGGGAGGAGGGTGAGGGGGGCAACTTTGTCACCCAGTGTTACCACCACACTGTTCAGCTGTTTGTGAGACTGTAGAGACCGTTGATAAAAGTCAGTCACTGTCATATTTTCATTTAAGTAAAGATGTTTCCAGTCTGACTGTTGTAACACAGCAGTGACTCAGCTCCACTTGAGGAAAGCATTTCTAGGTTCTACGGTTCTACGGTTCTATGTTCTAAACATTGCTCCAAACTTTGGGATTTTTTATATGAGCATATGATCCGGGGAGTTCAGTTTGAGTGACAGATCCATTAGTTTGAAAGTTTATGAGGCACCAAAACACTGCACACAAGTTTATCACACTAAGAGACAACGTGTGTTTCCCGTAGCAACAAACACAAAGTAAAACTGAGTGAGAATCAACTGGCAACCTCCAGGGCTGATAAATGAAGCAAACGAGCAAGTGGCGAAATCTGCAGTTCCTCTAATGACCACTTGAGACTGGCTCCAACAGTGAGTCATTGGGAGTTTAACCTTTTCGACATTTTGTTAAATCAGTGTTGTTGTTTCTGCCCTGCAGCTAGACTCCCACATGTGTCGACTTGACATTGAAAAACGAGCTTGAATAAATTTATCTCCCTGACATTTCTTCTCTTGTCATCCTCTATCTGTGTGACTGACAGGGAAAAAGGTAAAGTTGGAATGTGATAAGAATAGACCAGTTGCACCTGGCATTGCTATGGTTACCTGGCAGTGGACCAGTGATGTCAGCAGCGGTTCCCATGACAGCCACCACCACAGAGATGAAAGGCCTTTTGGTCCAATGTGGTGTCTCCCTGCAAGTTTGGGGAACATACCCGTCAATACAGCAGCAACATAACATACACATACCATACCATACCATACCATACCATACCATACCATACCTGTGAAGTGGTTCATATATGTTTTATAGTTTCAGTTCATATTTTTTATTCTGCCGATAGAAAATCTTGTGCTGCTTCAAGATCATTCTCTATTTTTGTATTTAAACAGAAAATACAAATGAATGGAGCCCAGAGGCTGTCTTGGAGGAAGGAAAATTTAAATAGTGTCCTTGCTAAATGTGATTCCATTTGTATTTTGTTAATGTATGATATGACTTTTGCTAAGGAATACAAAGAAACTAATCTCGTTATTTTCCTCATCTAGATTAATGGAGTGGATATTCAGAACAGAGAGGAAGCAGTGGCCATTTTGACCAGAGAGGACAGCATCAACTTCTCCCTGCTGCTCGCCAGGCCGGACATAGAGGTGACACGACATGACACGACTGAACCACTGTCCTAATTCAATGCTCGGGGGTTTAGAAAGTGCAGGAACCATATCAACCAAAGTTACAGGTTAACTTCCACTGGTGAAACCAACATCTATTTCATACAGGAGCAGCATGGACTGTACAAATCTAATGCAAGCTTTAAATTGGGTCCAGAGGCCGTCATCGTTTACACTACAAATTTTGGTCAGTCTTCTGTAACCAGTTTAATTTACCACTGCCAGTGGAAAAGTTTTAGTCTTGGTATTAATGGATTCCACTTGGTTGTCAACTTATTAGACAGAGCGCAAGATGAACTGATCAGACTTTGGTGGTCAAAGGTCAAGTTGAGACTTTGTTCAGCAGTTATGACAAAATTTCACACAAATGGTTCATATTTTATATGACTGGATAAACAGGGATGCAACCTGAAACTAGTCTGAGTGGCGAAGGCATACAACCACGACGCAGTAATTCTAGTTTAGTAGTTTAGTATTTTGACAACTACTTGATGGACTGCCATGAACAGAACATAGTGCCCGGATAATGAATTGTAATCACTCACCCTCTTACTTTTCATTGAGAGCCCTGTTCAGGTCAAAGTTTCATTTTCTCTGTGCTCGTGTTGAAACTTGGTTGTGATTGGCCAGTGAGCCAAGTCCCAGAACAGGCATGCTGACCCTGAACGACAGAAACAGAAAGGGTGGTTAAAAACTGTATGGATTTTTTAACGGTCCATCAGCCAACTGATGCAGCGGCCCATTGGGATTTGTCCTGGTCAGTCCAACACTGCTTTTATATGAGAAAGGTTTTCTTAATTTTCAGGTCCAGAAAGAGTCGTCACATTCATCCAGCCAAACAGTTTCTCTACCGTTTCATCACTCAGCTCACTGCAACCCAGTTTACTAACCTACTTTCTCCCTGTATAACTTTGGCTGCTGCAGGTGGCCGACAGGAGAGGAAAGATTCATAAAAGCCACAGTTTATTTTGCTGTGTGGTCGGAGTCCTAGTTTCTTCCAGCAGGGACATTATGTGTTCACCTCCTCCCTCCTCCTCTGCCCATTTGTGACCAACATATAGAAAACTAATGGCTGAATTGGAGTAAATTTTGATTTGCTGCTGCAAGTATTGAGATTTTTGACACCCTGTGATCTTTCCAGCAGCACATCTATCATCGGCCCAAAGTTTAATCTGCTCCTCTACCCTCCACTGAATATAATGTTATAATGAGAATGTGGCTGGAGGTTCTGTATGCAGTCCAGAACATTGGTTCACTTGTTTGATATATCTTGGGTACAAACACAAGAAAGAGTTCCCCTCAAATAAAGGCTGAATAAAGTAATGACAAAAGGATATATTTTTTTACAGCTGAAGTTAATAAAGATACGCTCACTATTTACAGAGAATCACAGTAGGTTATATATGGTAACTTTTGCACAAACTACACATAAAATAAAAGGTATAGTATATGATAAACACTGCGCAGCACGATACTGAATTATGATTGGTAGGTTGGTCAATAGGTACGTAGGTAGGTACAAAGACTGTGTCCTGGCTTTTGCTGCACAAATGCAACATAGAGAAATAACAATACAAACTGAGCAAAAATAAGGCAATTGTTATAATTTAAGATACCTGACCCGAATGCAGACACAAAAACTGGGCTGGTAGAGTTCGATGATGAAGTAAACAAAAAATGAAACAAATCCAATGAATTAAAGTGGCCGTTGATCCACAGTCCAAAAACGAAATCCAAGACTAAGGAACTAACATGGGAGCTCGAAGAAACACTGGGGAACATGGTGGGGACAAAAACAGATGAACGGACAAACACAACAGGGAGTACAGAGACTAAATACACATCTGGGGACCAGGTAACAAGACAGACAATCACAATGGAGGGAAAACAAGAAAAAGACAGGAAGTAAAACACCAGGGGGCACACAAGATAAGTGATTTCAAAATAAAACAGGAAATAATCCAAAAGTCCAAACCAAGTCCAAAAGTCCAAAAACTGTTATACCAAGGGCAGATCATGGCAGTAATAATAAATAATTAATAATGAAATAAAACAAAAATATGTGATGTGATACATAAGGTGGACAAATAAGTCCAGGTGAGTCATCCTGTCCTCTCTCCCAAACCACTGTGTATTCATCACACTAATCTGTAGCTGTAGCACATACAGTATATATTTGGCTAACATCTATCAAATTAACATAAATCATCATAATTGAAATAATAATACTCATCTTATAAGAAATTCACAGTTTTTTCCATTGAGTTCTAATCACTGTGCTGGATCTTTAACAGTCTGAAACCACACTGCACTCAATCTTCTGCTCTCACTCATGTTCACAATCAGCCTTTTTTCCTCATATCATAAAGTTCATATACAGGACCCCACTGTACATAATACTAATGGCTGTGTGTTTTATCACACACACACACACACACACACACACACACACACACACACACACACGCCATGATAAATGTTTATAGTATGACAGCAGCTCCCAGAGTGTGTCCCCACATGTGCTGACAGAGAAGGAACTGCACCATAGCATATTCATACATGTCAGTTAAAACACACTCCTCCATACATATTCAGTGAAAAATGTGCACAGCGTGTGTGTGTGTGTGTGTGTGTGTGTGTGTGTGTGTGTGTGTGTGTGTACACTCAGATGCCAACCACATGAATGAGCTGTCACTCAGTCATTCAGTCAATGCTTAGACAATTCTGACACTTCAGCTTGTCAGATCTACTTGTACTGAGAGAACAGGAGATGATGGATGTTTTATCGAGTAAGCAAATACCAAATGAGGGATGTGATGGGAGAGCAGCTGTGACGACAGAGGAGGAAAGAGATCACCAACACCCACATATATAGTGACTGCTATCATCCACACCCAGGAGGATCAAATCTGTCATCAAAAATAAAGTCTGAGATACAAAATATTACAAAAATAAAATAAAACCTCACTAATGAAGGGTGCACTGACTTCTTTTGCAATTGGTTCTTCAATATGGAAATGTGTTGTCTGCTTTTGCCCTTTTAGTAACAGGGTGAACTATGGTCACATATAGGTCAACATCTGTCAACTACTGTCCAGATATGCATGAACAGAGGTGCAGCTTGTAAACAGGTGAGACAGGTAACTACTTGGGGCCCCCCAAGGGCTAACAAACTTTACTCCACAGCAGTGTCACAAAATGAGGCTCCCTCCCTTAAACAACCAATGGACAGTTTGCAGTGACATATCAGTAGGACACATCTAAATGATAATAAAACTAGAATTACTTCCTTGTAGTTGTATTCCTCTGCCACTCAGACTAGTTTCAGATTACATCCCTGTTTATCCAGAGTCATATAAAATATTAACCATTTGTGTGAAATTTTGTCACATTTGCTTTGTGAATCTTAAGTAATGGCTAAAAAGTGTCACACTGAACTTGACCTTTGACCACCAAAATCTAATCAGTTCGTCCTCGAGTCCAAGTGGGCATTTGTGCAAAATTTGCAGGGTTCTGGAGCTATTGCGTTCACCATGATTGGAGGGGGCGTTTTTTTACCAAGGGCCCAAACAGACTCTAGAATCTGAAATACACTGATCTCATTCTTGCTCCTGGGAGGATGAACCCTTTTCAATTTAAAGTCTTAGACCAATGTTGCTGAGATGAGGGAGAAAATATTTTAAATTGTATGACAAAAATATGATAATATCCTGTTAAATAAAACTGCATCAAGGCAGTAAAATATCATTAATATCATGGTGTGATATTTACAGTGGCAGACAGATTGTATTTTGTATCAACCTGCTGAAGAGAGACAGAGGGGGAGAAGTGAAGGTATCAGATGGATGGAACAATGAGGGGATGAAGGGATGATGGGTGAAGAGAGGAAAATGGAGGACTAGTTATTTATATTGTGTGCTCTATTTTCTCTGTCAAGGTCAAACACACAAACAAGATATCAATAGTTAAAAACAGGTCACAATTGGATAATTTCAGTTTTAAAAAGTGGCTCAGTAAATTCCTAAAGCAGCTGCTCATTTATCAAACAAACAGGAGGAAATAGTGCATTTGTTGGGGACTATTTTCAGTGGCGGATTAATCCGCTTTTGGTGCTCAAGAGCGTATTCGAGACAGCAGGATAGTGTGTGTGGGACTGAGCCAAAATAAACTACAGTCTGTGTGTTCATCGTGATGAAGGAACATATCAGTGCTACAATGTGACTCACTGATGTGTATTAATAGTTCAACTCTGTGTCAGCAATGAGAAAAATATAAGATATCACAAGGCTTTTTGTTTGACTCTAAAATCAAGTCTTTTCGAAGCTTTGAGGCCGACAACACATCCTCGTCTCAAGAACACAAGGAGTACAAGAGCACAAACAAACACACATGTACTGTCCACAGGAACAATACAATGTTGATAGCATTATGTCCAAATCAGTGTCCTGTAGGAAACACAGACGTTTGAGGTTGTAAACAAGAAACCGCTCTGCAGTGTCAATAAAACATATTAAAGTTGAGTGAATTCAGCACAGGAGACAACAACAACAAAGCTGGTGGAGCTGTTCACAGTAGATAATCCTATTAAAACACAGAACAGCTGTTCTACATCACTGCACTGACAACAGTGGAGAAATTTAACTTTTAAATCTCTACACTCACTGATGTGTGAGTGTGAGAAGCTCCTCGTTTGTGTCTGCTCCACCTTAATATAGACCCTGAAAAAGGTTCTGTAAACCATCGTCACCAGCATCTCAGACCTAAACAATGATTCGTCACAAGCCCTCCTCCCCTCCATTCACGTTCTCAGTCAGCAAGTGTTATGAAGCCCAGTGAAAGTGTCCACTAAACATACATCAAGAAGTACAACTGAATAAAGTTACCCTGTGTACATGAAAGCGAACAAAAAGCAACAACTATTAGCCTACACTAGCATTGCCGTGATATGCTAACTGACAGTTAGCCAGATAGCGATAGCAACATTTGCAGAGCCCATTTATAATATGGGAAACACCAAGTTGGCTAATGTTATCATGCTACTGTAGACGTCACTTATGAAGACAGACATGTAACATCAAGTTACAGGCATATGGGGTAAAAGAAAAACCAGTTCTGAGTCAGGCTGGAGACTTTAGCAGCTTGTAAGGTTCTCCTCTCTGTTAAGCCCGACCAGTATTGACTTTATGGTCGGACTGGGAAAGAAATTCAGTCTTGGACTGATCCACTGGGACCAGCTGCATGAATGACACTGATGGTGCAGATAAAATCTTGTAAAACTGGATAATGGATGTAATGGTTGTTTTGACAGTCCATCAGTAAACCGGGATTTGAGCTAGTAGTCCCCATGGCCAGTCCACCTGTGCTGTGGTCTGATGTCTTTCTTTGGCTTCATTCTCTGCTCATGACCCCATTACTCCACTATATCTTTACATAGAAAATAGTTGTTTTGCTGCTGTATTATTGTTTAAAATCTTGTTTACAGAACCTTTAACTTTATTTCCACATTCATATAAATCTTCTCCGCTTCTTTCCAGAATGACAACCCTGCTGATCCAGAGGAGGACATGGAGATGACTCTGGAAGGAGGAGGTTTCCACCCAAACCCTCAAGCCTCCTCTTGCTCCCTCAACTCATCTCACCTTTCTGGCTACTACCGCCTCCGCCGGGGAGGAGGAGGAGGCTTGGCCTGCCCTGGAGGAGGAGGAGGAGGAGGAGGAGGAGAAGGAGAAGGTGCAGGGGGTGGTGTGGAAGTGGAGGAGGAGGAGGATGAAGAGGGAGAGGATGGAGAGAAAGGACAGAAGGAGGACAGAGACCCACCTGTCCCCCTCCCTCCTTTGCTGAGCCTGGCTCCGCTGCTGTCCAATAGCCAGGAGCTGGACAGCGGAGTGGGCCGGACCGATGACAGCACCCGCTACGAGGAGCTCTCAGAACAAGACCTTCTGGGGGACCAGACCAGTGCCTGTAACACCAACACCACCAACACGCCGGGAAGCACCAGGAAGTTCAGACCAGGACCCAGCCCCAGGTAGGACCGCAGATCAGACATCAAATCCAAGAATGTCAGTGTTTGTGGAGAAACATACATTTTTAAAATTGACTGTAGCCATGCGAAAAGTAGCAGATACAAAGAGTGGGAAGGGCTCCCAGATTAATATCTAATACTCTGAGTTTTAGTGCACCACAGAAAACCCCGCCTTGTCTCCTGTACCCAGGCCTAGTCCCAGACCCAGTCCTGGCCTTGGCCCAAGCACCAGGCCAATCCCCAGCCCTGGGAATGGACGAGGAGACACTACCCCTCCTTTCCTCCACCTGCGAGACCTCCAGCTCAGCTCAGACTCTCTCCCCGGCCTCGACTGGACAGCTGGAGGAGGAACAGGAGGACCAGCGTACAGCCCCCACCACCATCACCACCACATGGTAGGTCTTGATAAAGGATACATTTGGTGACCTGGAGGCCTGTTACTGTCAACAAATCCCACAAAAAAGGTCAACAAATGTGAGATGATTTTAAAGATTTACATCTTCAGTGGGAAACAATGAGCTCAGAGCTGAGACCCAAAGACAGAGGAGGGCATTCAGGATGTGTTGAGAGACAAACATTGTCATTTGGGTCTTTTCATGGGATTTGTTGACAGTAACAAAAACATAGAATAGAGTTTGACTTATTCTTTTTACAGCTGATATGACCTTAAAAGGTCCCATATTTTATTATTTTTGGTGTTTTATTTGAAGTGTTGATCCATAAGAAGGTATATTTGTGGTTTTAAGAGCCAAAAACCATCTCAATTTAGTTTAACATCTCTCTCAGGCTTCTCTGGAGCTCTAGTAACAACAGGTCAGTGATCTAATAAAATATAGCAGATTTTAAGTAAATACTCAGTTACACGAAATCCTGCAAGGTTGGATGGCTGGTCCAGGTGGGCAGGGCTTGGGGCATGGCTTATGCTTTGTTGTGACATCACAAAGTTACTGAAGTCCTTACAGCTCATTTTAAGGCTCAGTTTCTGAGTAGAGGCTGTGTGCATTTCTTTGTGTATTGAGGTGGATCACCAACAAGGCAAAGTGGGCAACTGCCCAGTGGCCTCAGACCCTCAAGGTCCCCAAAAGCTCCAAATTTGTTAGAAATCTGCACCACTGAACTACAAACCTCTACCCTTCAGCTTCTGGCCCTGATCTTGAAGAGGGACTCTGTGTCTATTTTTTATACATACATATATATATATATATATATATATATATATATACATATATATATAATTTGTTGTAAAGTTTCAATGAAATTGGTCATTTTTTTCTGTGTAATGTAATTAATATATCGATAACCTCAGGCGAGGTCGTATTATTCCATCAAAGGAATTCCAGGAAAACTGGAAGGCTACTTTCATTATCAATAGGTCGGACAATTATTTTCTTTAAGGGCTACACGATATGCAAACACAATGATGTGATTTTTGTTGAGTCTTTACAAACATGTTCCTTTACGTCTGGAGAATGTGATTTGTAGGCCAGGGAGTCTCTGTAACACTATGACGCTTATGGTGTTAACAATGCACAACAATGTGACACATTTTACCTTTATCAAAAAAATTGCAGCTCCTGTGGTTTTTAATTAATTATTTAATTGTGCAGCCCTATTTTTAATACTCATTTGATCATTCGAAGATCGGTCAGAAACCCCAAAATTTTGAGTTTGCTATCAATTAAAACTGGGAAACCAGCAAATATTTACATTTGAGAAACAGGTAACAGTAAAATTTTGGCATTTCTGCTTAAAACATGACAAACAAATAATCAATTATCAAAATTATTGCCATTTTTTTCTGTTGATCAACCCATCATTTCAGCTTTAGAGCACTGGTTGGTTTGAAACTGTAATAAATAGTCATGGTCAATAGGGGCAAAACAACAAATTATTGCCCTGAGAGGAAAATCCAGCCATGATACAAAAATAAAATCTAGATTAAAATTATTATGATTACTGGAAGCTATGAAACACTTCTGTGGTCTGTTGTTGGTTTCTGGCTGCTAACTGACCTTTGACCCGCAGCACTACCACCACCATCACCACCAGCCGATGACGATGATGATGATGATGCCGGGCCTGACTGAGGAGGAGTGCCAGCGGTACCAGGAGCTGCTGGAGATAAAATGCCAGTACGAGAGACGCAACGAAAAACAGCAAAGAGAGGTGGCGAAAAACAACGCTGAGGCAGAAATGAAAGAGCAAGAGGAAAGAGAAGAGGCAGAAAAGGAAGGACAAGAGGAAGCCTCTTCTTCTTTGGCGGTGGATGTGAACTGCAATGAGACTTTCAGTGAGCACGAATTGGCGCTCATTGACGAGGAGTTACGCCACCTGGAGTTTAAGTGTCGTAACATCCTCCGTGCCCAGAAGATGCAGCAGCTCAGAGAGAGGTGCCTCAAAGCCTGGATGATGGAGGAGGAGACAGTGGCTGCCGGAACAGGGCGACCGGGGCCTTTGGAAGCAGGTAACCATGACAACCACTGAGGAATGTGTGACAGAAAGAAAGCCTGATATTTTGTGTATATTAGTATCTATGGAGATCTGAATTACAACCTGACAGGAGCATTTTAAGAAGATGTTTTCAATTGAGAAATTCCACCTAACACTATTCATGACTGAGAGGAATAGTTCAAGTTGTGCTTCTGTGTCAACCAGCGGAAACTCAAGCCTTGACTTAAGATCCTTAAGCTTTTACACTTTGTTTCTTAATCATTTTTTTGTGAGCTGTAGAAGTGCTGGTAGGTGGGTTTTGTAACCCATGAACAAATGTCACCCACCACCCCAGCCACCTTATGAACTTTGTCTGGTACAACAACCAGGTCACTCTTGTTAAAAGACATTTTTATCTCAGTGAAGCCCTTTTCTGGTTGAATAAAATTATATAAAAAGAACATAACACTTCCTGGAGCGGAGAAAAAAAGTTGGAAATGGACATAATCCATCTTGCAGCCATGACAAAATACATTTAGTAGAGAAGCTTTAAAAATATCAGTGTCAGTCACTTTATCTACACAAACAGTATTGTTGTCTTGAGCCTTTACCTGGATATGATAGTTTATTAAAGTGAATGGATGATGTTACACAAGCTTCTCGTCTATATTTTCTGCTATTTCTTCATGAAAATGCTAAATGTGATGAAATATGATGATGAAATATTTTTTTCTGCTCTGACTTTGGATGGTTGTAAAGTTGACGTTCATATTGCAATTGTGACCACACTCTGATGTCATGCTGCACCAGTGTCATTTTACATCACTTTTAGGATGTGAAAATTTCAACCACTAGATGGCTATTTCAAAGTCCTTCATCACGTTTTAATGTGGCTTCATTGGAAAGTCAATGAAGAATGGATATACTTATATTTATTAACATAAGAATCAAGATTAAATGTAATGCTTTACTGTATCAATGTAACATTAAGTTTAATGTTACCCTCGCTAAAATTCAGCTGTCAAAATTTTCTTTCATCCGATAAAATAAAGCCAGGAGTGAAATGTGGATCCTAGGCAGTGTGCAGGTGGTAAACTTTTTTAATCTTAAAAATAAAAAAGCTAGTTAAAAACAATACAAAATCCTTTCTTGTAGGTATGGATAATGAGAATGATGACAACGACGACCCTCACCATCACGAGCTGTCGGCCATCAATGAGCTCCCGGAGCGGGAGCGCTCAGACGACAAAGACAGCACCAGCGCCTACAACACTGGCGGGGAGAGCTGTCGGAGCACGCCATTGGTCAGCACTGAGCAGATCCCGCCTCTCCATGAAGAGGAAGATGAAGGAGGCAGGCAACTGATGTCTCCGCCTCCTCTCCTCCCCCTCGGTTACCTCCCCCCTTTGAACTCCCCTCTTACCCCGCGGCGTCACAGACGGGACAGAGAGAGACGCCACTCGAACCTCAGCTGCTCTTTCTCCCCTAGCACTTACAGGAAGAATGAAACGGCCAATGGCAACGTGGCAAACGGCTCGAGCTCCACCCCCTCTACACCCTCCAAGTTCAGGTCTTTTTACTTCTGTTAACACATAGTTAAAACTTTGTAAAACTGAAGGTATGTTTTTTTGTTACACTTAAATAACTGGATATCTTACTGTGTTTGTTGCCATCATCAGGTCTCTGACCAGAGAGGCGGGGTCGTCTTCAAGAAGGGGTGTGGCCGATGGAGGGCGGGGCTCAAGAGCAGGTACGAGTACTCAGTTATCTGCAAAACTACCTTCATACCTTCAGAAATGTGAGATACAGTACTTTTTGTCATCAAGCTTTTCAAATATACCACCAGAGTCCGTTGGAGCCCTAGGCTAAAAATTGCCTAGTGGCCCCTCCAATCAGTGTTCATCATCATTGTGTAATAAATTATCTGACACCGACGGAAAATGGGCGAAACCTAAACATTATTATCAGATTCAAAATGTTGAAAAAAAAAAAAGAAAAGAAAGAAAAACGTTGTAATATTCACATTTTGCCGTCACAACCTGGAGCCTCAAGCAGTTGCCTGACTTGCCTGTTCACAATCTGCGCCTCTGACTACCACTGGGTTCTCCAGTGTCAGTATAGCACCAGAGACAGAGTTGCCTTGGTGGCTACTACATGTCCTGCCTTTTGTAGCAACAATGCTAGCACTCAGCAGACAGTAGCCCAGTGACAGTTGGTGCCAGTAACGCACCAATAAACACAGCAATGTGCCAACAAAAGAGGTGTCGAAGAAGACTAGACTTTCAAAATGTTTGAAATATTTTATGAGGAAGAAAATGCAATAACCCCGAGGATACACAAAGTGTTTGTTAGCAACAGAACTCCAGTATAGTTCCTTTAACTGTGATTTTCCTGTACTATTTCCTATTTTTTGACTGTATACTTTATTCATTACCATTGCAGGGGGAGCCACCAACAGGCCCGGAGGCGGAAGTGCAGAGTCCAGTCCCTATTTCACCAGACGACACCACAGCCACAACAAACCATTAGAGCGCTACCAGAGCTGTATGACCCTGCCCTCTGAGGGCCTGGTGGACCCTCTGGACCGAGTGAGAGACAGAGCGAGGGCCGAGGGCGAAGAGAGAGGGATGGGCACAGGCAGCAGCGGCCCAGCCAGCCCCAGGAGTGTGAACAGCGCCCCCTGCGGTCTGGAGGACCATCACGTGGGTGCTTCACGGTTAGGACTGGCATTACCGCTTGGGTTGACACACTCGTCACCGTCTGCCTCACCACAGCGCATGGAGTGGAAGGTAAATACTGTGATTGTACTCTTAATGGAAAGTCAACATGAAAGGTAATCTGCAGTCTTCCTGTTTGTGATATTGTGATACAAACACATAGATGTTTTATCACTGAAAATGTTTGAAACCCACTAAACAAAATAGTCATATAATCTGTCAGTGTGTTACTCATGGATGGAATTATAGTGAAAATAAATGATTCCCCTTTTTGCTGGGGACCCCCATGAACCCTCTCTAGAACCCCTGGGGGTCCCCGGACCCCACTTTGAGAACCACTGGTTTAAAGGAGCCCCTTCAACTGTGTCTAAGGAACTCAGATTCATGGAGTTATAGAACCAAAGCCATTTCCTAAACACAGCTTCAAGCCTTGAGGGCAGAAAGAAATCCAGAAATCTGACGGCAAGAGTCACCTCAACGACAAAGACTTCATGAAGCTAAATTAAGCCCTGTGGGCTTAAAGGAAACACAATGACCTGCCTCTGCCTGCTTTTAGTATGACAAGACGAGAGGCTATGAATTCGTTCTCTTTGTGTCCAGGTAAAGATTCGGAGTGATGGCACCCGCTATGTGGCCAAGCGGCCGGTCAGGGATCGTCTGCTGAAGGCCAGAGCCATGAAGATCAGGGAGGAACGCAGCGGCATGACAACCGACGACGATGCTGCCAGTGAGATGAAACAGGTAGAGTCTGCACAGAAATCAAGACGGCATTAAAAACCAGCAAAGTGTCTCTCATTCAGTGTGACAAACTGCTCATTAAACCACATACAACTGTCCTTCAAACAGGGCCGATACTGGAGCAAAGAGGAGAGGAAGCAGCAGCTGCTGAGAGCCAGAGAGTACAGACGAAGAAGAGAATTCATGATGCAGAGCCGCCTGGACTACCTCAGAGGAGACAGGTACAGAAAGTCCAGGTTTATCCAAAGATTTCAACAGAAATAAGAAGACTGAGGGTAACGCCTAAATAGTGGCTAATTTCTTCATGCAGTATGGATTTTGTGCAGTGACAACATCAAATATATGTATGTTCATTTAAACATTTTAATGTGAGGTAGTTGATGTTATTTGGACATGTATGAGAATTTTATTTGCTTTTAAGGTTGCTCTTTAAGGTTTGTCTCAGAGTTTACCCATGTCTGTGTTCAACACCACATCACAAGATTAAGATAAGATCAATGTCAACAACAAAATCCTCTTACCTCCTGCTGCTGATGAGATGCCATTCAGTGTGAAAATCCATAAAACATCACACAGACAAACTCCTGTTGTTAGTCCGAACTGATAATCCATCAGTCAAATAGTCATTTCAGCTTCATTTATGGAAATCCCACATTCTGAATCTTCTTTTGTCAGTTTGTGTTTGTCAAACTAAGGTTGTTCCAGTGTCGAACCTGAGATCGAAACACTGAACCATTACAGACAGTTAATCAGCATGATTACCATCAGCTGTGAGCCCAGGGAAAACCTGTGAGTGTAGGGCTTAAAGGGCCAGTCCTCAAAATGAGGAATGACACATAACCTTAAAGATCCCATATTTTACACTTCTCCTGTGCTTTATCTGAAGTGTTGATCCATAAGAAGATATATTTGTGGTTTTAAGAACCAAAAACCTTAAATGAACTTAATGTAGTTTTACACCTCTTCTCTCAGGCTTCTCTCTCAAGCTCTGGTAACAACAGGTCGGTGAGCCAATCAGAAGAGAGGCTCTGAGAGCACTGAGTGCTTTGATACTTTCACAGTATTAATGTAGAACCTAGACCTACTTTAAAATAAAAAAAGACGTAGCAATCTACCTTTATACAATATTAATCATGAACCATAGAATTAAAACACTTGATAATGAATAAGGTTTTGCAGTTAATCATATTACAGAGAGACAATGTCAGAGCTATATCTTAATGCAGGTTTAAGTTGTGCTCACAATATATTATCTTGTTAGCACAAGACAAGGACTTTTTGACAGTTGCTACGTAAAATGTGTAAAACCACTACAGATTTTCTCTGTTAAAATACAGATTGTGATCTAGCTCAGTCTTACCTTTCGGTTTTATTTCCAGGGACCCTTCATCGTCAGCAGGGAGCGCTGAAGACCACTGTTCCTCCCAGCTTCCCCCCAGACAGGACTCCCCCAGCAACAACATCTTGTTACTGAGCCAGAAGAAGATCATGAAGAAGAGGAACCGGCGAATCCTTGACAACTGGATCACCATCCAGGAGCTCCTGGCTCATGGATCAAGATCTCCAGATGGAAAGAAAATATACAATCCTCTTCTTTCTGTGACCACGGTGTGATCTGAGCACAGACAGGAGGAAAAGAGGAGGGAAGAGGGAAGAAACTGACAATAGGATAGAAAGACTTTAGGGAATAAGGAGAAATGATGAAAAAATTTAAAACTTTAAGATCTGATTAAAACTGTTCCCTGAACTGTCTTTTATAGCAAGTGGAACAACAAAGGGGAGAAAGAGGAAGATATAAAGAAGTAAATCAAATGAGAGGATGGAGTATAAGCAAAAGTGGAATGAGTTCTGAAAAGGCAGCGATGAGTTAATACTGAACAAGTGGCAGCAGCCTCTAAAAGATCTGGATTGACCCTTTATTCTAGACTTTTTTTTTATTCACAGAGAAACTGTGACTTGAAAAGTCGAGGAACTTTTTACAACTTTTCAGGTTAGAAAATAAGAAAGTAAAGCTTAACCCTACAGCTGGACCTGGACTGGATCCTGATCAGGACATGGGTCTCAGAACCAAACATCTTTCATATAAGGACGACACTTGATATGAACCAGGTTGTTCAATCTCTCTCCTCTATGACGTCCCTTTAAACTTAAAGTAAAGACACATTTAAGGAGGGAAACAGTTTGTTCTGGTTCTCAGCCCCATTCATGAAAGTGCTCCATGATTGGTTTGACAGGACTTTGACAGGTTTGATCTCCCAGAGAGTTCAGACCAAAAAACATTGCAAACCCAAGTCAAAGGAAGACACACATTCACTTGGGGTGAAGGAGTTAAATGTTTCAGCTTGAGCAAAAATGTTTATCCCAGGAGGGAGACAAAAGAACTCTGAGCTGAAGACAGACAGGTAGACTCAGACCACACACACGGCTGGTTGCTAACTAGTTTACACCTAACATACAAAGTGCTGATGCCCCTTCAGTGGTAAAGAAACTTTGAACAAAGGCAATGAACTGCCAACCGACTCATGGCTGCCTCCTCTGGTTCAAGTTCAGTTTAACTGCGTCGAGTGCAACCGCTCAGAGGAACTCGTAGATATGATGACAACCTTTGAGAGAAGAACTTTTCAATGTCACTTTGTTATAATATAAAAAGTGTTTCAGAAGATTCAGACTTTTGCTTCATGTCTGAGAATCTCACCAACATTTTTCTCAGAGGACGATAAATGTACATAGATTTATGGTGTTGACACATATTGATAAAATAATCATAAAGTATTATTGATACACACAGCTGAAGACCAAGATTCAGTATTCAACCACTATGTACATTAAAGGAAAAATTCCACCTTTTATATATGACAGTCAGATCTCATTGATCTGTGACATTCACTGTTTAATTTGACTGACCTGCCTTTAAATTTACAGGTGCATCATTGTAAATCTCTTTCCCAGAATGCATTTTGAGACTGAGGGGAAAAGAGACTGGTCAATGATTGTATATGAAGATGAATGACATGACAGCTCTCCAAAAGTGAAGGCGAGACATCTTGAACGCCCCAGGTGGCTGCCTGCTGTAGAGCTTATAAACCCGCCCCCTCCATATTAGCAGATGGGACATTGACTGAACTGAAAACATCAAAGTACACATCAAATACATTTTTCCCAAAAATGATTTCTCACATTTTAGATTGTTCTTATAATGCTGACGTTTTTTGTAATCTTTATTTTTGGGCACATGTACGGCCCCACCCCCGGATCACTACTGTGCTCCAAATGACGTCATCAGCGCAGAGTGGCAGCACTCATATCCAGAATGTTTTGGCTTAATTTTTGTACGGTGGGAGAAAGAGGAGACGTGTCGTCCATCTTTACAAACAGTCACTGGGTCTGGTATGATTATTTCGTTTTTTTACATGGCTAATATTATGTCCATTAAATTGTGCTGCTTATGGGTTTATTTTTTCCTTTGGCAGCAGGATGGTTCACAGCGTGGTTGGGGCTTCAGGCTGTGTCTGTGACCATGATGTGTAAAATGAAATATTCATACTGAGTCTAATGAAATGCATGAATTAAGTATTGAACGTTGTGGATTATTGGACATAATTCTTGAATCTAAAGTGATGTAGTGTACAAAGCCTTGTGCAGACATTTTCAGTAGTGAAAGATGTGAAAGTGCAGAAAATTCTGAGTTAATTAAATTAAATGAAGTGAAATGAGATGTATGAGGTGCTGCCTGCTCTTTTCTGTGAGTCACACATAGTGGATGGAGTTTGCTCAGTGTCATATTCAATATTGTCATATTGCTACATATTGTCATTTTCAATTGAAACATGGCTGTGCCCAAAATCTTTAAGCACATAAGCTGTGCCATATTAACCACAGCTAACAAATACAGACATGCTATGACTTCTGTATTGTATTTTTTGTATTCTTCTTTTATATACTGTGAATCGAGTTTGTGGTCATGCTTTGACATGTTAAAAACTGATGGTGTTCGATTGCTAAATTTCAAAAACTGAATTTGAATTGTGAGAATTGAATGTGTAAGTTGAGGATCAAACACAGTTTTGGAGCAAATTAATTCAGTTTCATAATATTCTACATTTAGTCTCAAGTTTATTGGAAGTCAACTCATAAATTCAAATTATTATTAAATATGACTCAAATTCATTTTTAATGCAATTATTCAAGCTGAGCAATTCAAATTCATATTTTATATATATATATATATATATATATACAATTCAATACAGCAACACCAGTGAAACAGGAGGCCTCGTCAACGGCTCCCAGCACATTACTATACAAATTCTGCCACCTGCTGGTTCTCTCCTGGAATAGGTCAAGCCTGTTGCAATTAATCTCGGCGTTTTGTTGGGTAGTAATTTAAATTGAGCAGCGTACCACAAAGCTGGTCCAATCACGATTTTGCACCAATGTTAGAAAGTGTCAGCAGGTTTTTTTGACCAGTGTAAAAAGGGCTACACACACACACACACATACACTCACAAGGTGAAAACAATTCCAGCCACCCCTGTTGTGGCTGGTAATAAAGACTGATGAAGAGGGGTGGAGAGTAGAGCTGTGTGTGTTGTGTTTAGAGGAGGGACTCCATCATTTAGAGAAGTGAGAAGATCCTTATTTACGAGTGAAGACAGAAGAGAGGCCAGATTAAACTGAGCTTCAACATGAAAGTCTATTACACTTTGATCTGCTGCTGCTTCCTCTGTGAGTACATCCTTTTTGTCACTTTCTTGTCATTACATCATTGAAAAGTTGGGATGAATTGATTCATATGAAATTTAATAATTTTTCCATAAAATACAAACCAATGATTCTTGTTAACACATTTAACAAATACTGTATAAAGCTCCATTCTTACTGAATGTAGACAAGTTCAGTCAGTTGTTTGTTCTGATTAATGGAAAATGAGTGAATCCAGATGATCTTGAAAGTTCTTGAGCTGTAGTGGGTAGAGGCTGAAGTCTTGACTTTTTATTTTCCGCATTTTAAAGTCTAAAAACTACAGTGTCAATGAGAGCTCAATGCACTGCATCTTAAGAAAACACATGCAAATCACAACACAACCAAATACACATACTATTTTCAGCATGTGTGTGGTCAAATTGATGATGTTTTCTGAATTTGGTTGTGTTTTGTCTATTTCCATGTGTTTTCTTAATATACAGTGTGGCAAGCTCTCAGGGCCACTGTGAAAAACAGACGTCAAGGTTCGACTGTATTTTATGTTCCATATTTTGTCTAGCTCACCTTTCTTAAAGGTCCAATATTTTACACGTTGCCTGTGTTTTATTTGAGATGTTGATCCATAAGAAGATACATCTCAGTGTAGTTTTACATCTCCTCTCAGGTTTCTTTCTGGAGCTCCAGTTACAACAGCTTGACTGTTTACTGAGTGATCCAATAAAAAATATAGCAGATTTCAGGTAATTACTCAGAGAAACCAAATCCTGCAAGGTTGGATGCTGGGTCCAGGCGTGTGGGGGCTTGGGGCATAGCAGAGAACAGTGACTGATTTACCATGGACATCTACCTTTATACTATATTGGACCTGAAAAAATCAACCAGTCAGGAACAAATCTTTTCCCGAACAGTAAAGATCAATGAAAGAACCCTCTGTGAATAGAAGCTGGTGAAACAAAAGCTTTCATATTGGATGGGACTTTGGCTCTCTTTAATGTTTATAATAGGATGGACCTGAGTTATTGCTGTACCATAATAATGTGGAAGGAATGAGACGAAACATTTCAGTTGAAGTTATACTGATTGAATAAATATAAAATTATGAGAAATCAGCTAAGAAAGGATATACTGACTGACAGCATGGCCAAAGAAGCTGTGTAGAAAAAAATTAGACATTGAGAAATATACTCACTTCCTTAACACAACTTAGATAAGATGGATATCCCTCTCATGTCTACACTAAATATGAAGCTACAGCAAGTCACTGGGAGTCTGTTTGTATTCTACACTAAATTAATGTAAATATTGACATAAAATTGTTACGTGAACAGTTTCCTTTTTTATTGCTCAGTGCTGAATGAAAAGAAAAAAAGGAAGAAAGGAAGGAGAAGAGAAAAGAAAAAAGGATAAGAGCAAAACTAAAACATGTTAAATGATCTGCAGGGAATCAATTTCTCTTTACAACTGATTGATTTAAATCATTATTTCTACAGAGAAACTCTGCAGTGAGAATAAAAGATGATGGATAAATGAGAGACAAAGATGTCAAATAAAACAGTAACATTCACTTACTAGGCAGGTTTGTGATCCTCAGTCACAGATTGGTTGAACTGTGTGACAGGAATCGTTAAGTACAGATAATAACTACTGATTGTTCATCTGTTCAACAGCACTGCAGGATGGAAACACTGGTCTCGTCAATGCACAGATCCCTATGTATTTTGGCGCTGAAGGAGGACAAGTCACAGTTCCATGCACTTTTATTTTTACTGCAGAAACGAAGTTCTTCTGTAAGAACGAATGTGGAAGAGATGATATTCTCATTGAAACATCAAAAGACACAGTTTATAGTGGCAGATACAGCTTGCAGCATATAACATCTTACCCTTCAACACTGTACTTGACCATCAGGC